GGACACCGGAAGTAAGGGATGCTGTCAAGCTGAAGAAGGAGTCCTATCAGGCCTTGCTGGCTCGGGGGACTCCTGAAGCAGCTGACGGGTACTGGCAGGCCAAGCGTGCTACAGCCCGTGTGGTCGCGGAGGCAAAAACTCTGAGCTGGGAGGAGTTCGGGGAGGCCATAAAGAAGGACTATCGGACGGCCTCAAAGAGATTCTGGCAAACCATCCGGCGCCTCAGGAGGGGAAAGCAGTTCTTCACCAACACTGTTTACAGTGCGGGGGGAGAGCTGCTGACCTCGACTGGGGACGTTGTCAGGCGGTGGAAGGAATACTTTGAGGATCTCCTCAATCCCACCGTCACGTCTTCCGAGGAGGAAGCCGAGGCTGGGGACTCGGGGGCGGACTCATCCATCACCCTGGCCGAAGTCACTGAGGTGGTTGGCAAGCTCCTTGGTGGCAAGGCTCCGGGGTTGGATGAGATCCGTCCTGAGTACCTTAAGTCTCTGGATGTTGCAGGGCTGTCTTGGCTGACACGCCTCTTCAACATCGCGTGGCGGTCAGGGACAGTACCCTTGGACTGGCAAACCGGGGTGGTGGTCCCTCTGTATAAGAAGGGGGACCGGAGGGTGTGTTCCAACTATAGGGGGATCACACTCCTCAGCCTTCCCGGTAAGGTCTATGCCAGGGTACTGGAGAGGAGAATCCGGCTGATAGTCGAACCTCGGATCCAGGAGGAGCAGTGTGGTTTTCGTCCTGGCCGTGGAACACTGGACCAGCTCTACACTCTCCATAGGGTGCTCGAGGGTTCATGGGAGTTTGCCCAACCAGTACACATGTGCTTTGTGGACTTGGAGAAGACATTCGACCGTGTCCCTTGTGGTGTCCTGTGGGGGGTGCTCTGGGAGTATGGGGTTCGGGGCCCTTTGCTAAGGGCTGTCCGGTCCCTGTATGACCGGAGCAGGAGCTGTGTTCGCATTGCCGGCAGTAAGTCAGACCTGTTCCCGGTGCATGTTGGACTCCGCCAGGGCTGCCCTTTGTCACCGGTTCTGTTCATTGTATTTATGGACAGAATTTCTAGGCGCAGTCAGGGGCCGGAGGGGGGCCGGTTTGGGGACCACAGGATTTCATCTCTGCTGTTTGCGGATGATGCTGTCCTGTTGGCTTCATCGAACCAGGACCTGCAATGTGCACTGGGGCGGTTTGCAGCTGAGTGTGAAGCGGCTGGGATGAGGATCAGCTCTTCCAAGTCCGAGGCCATGGTTCTCGACAGGAAAAAGGTGGCTAGCCCTTTCCGGGTGGGCGGAGAGTCCTTGCCTCAAGTGGAGGAGTTCAAGTATCTCGGGGTCTTGTTCACGAGTGAGGGGAGGACAGAACTTGAGATTGACAGGCGGATCGGTGCAGCTTCGGCAGTGATGCGGTCGCTGTATCGGACCATTGTGGTGAAGCGGGAGCTGAGTCGAAAGGCGAAGCTCTCGATTTACCGGTCAGTCTTTGTTCCTACTCTCACCTCTGGTCATGAGCTCTGGGTAGTGACCGAAAGGACGAGATCGCGGATACAAGCGCTCGAAATGAGTTTCCTCCACAGGGTGGCTGGGTGCTCCCTTAGAGATAGGGTGAGGAGCTCAGTCACACGGGAGGAGCTCGGAGTGGAGCCGCTGCTCCTCCACGTCGAGAGGAGCCAGTTGAGGTGGCTCGGGCATCTGTTCCGGATGCCTCCTGGGCGCCTCCCTCGGGAGGTGTTCCGGGCATGTCCCACCGGGAGGAGACCCCGGGGAAGACCCAGGACACGCTGGAGGGACTATGTCTCTCGGCTGGCCTGGGAACGCCTCGGGGTCCCCCCGGAGGAGCTGGAGGACGTGTCTGGGGTGAAGGAAGTCTGGGAGTCCCTGCTTAGGCTGCTGCCCCCGCGACCCGGCCCCGGATAAGCAGACGAAAATGGATGGATGGATAGATGTATGTCCTGGTCAGATTTGGTCAAACATTTATATTTCGGCTGATATTGCAATATTTAAACTTTTGTTTGTACAAAGCTTTTCTGTAATGAACTGTGAGATAAATAGCAGTTACACAACACTACTGGATCAATTTTGTAAGAAATATGTTTTGAGGGGAGTAAATGCAATGTTCAGTCTGGTATCAGTTATCGATTATTTCAGAAGTATCAATGCCAGAATAATGACAACATAGTTTTTTGTTTTTTTTTTTGCTCATGTCATGCAGCTCTAATAGGAAAGCAGCTCCACACATGTTAGTCCTAAAGCTGTGTTATTTTTAGCACTATAGGGAGTCTAATCTGATAGTATAGGTCTTATCATAGTATCAGAGAGACGAGGTGACACATGTTCTCCTCTGTCTGTCCACAGTGAGTCGGTTGTTGTTTTTGAGATTGTTTTTAGTCCTGGTGTGGAGGCAGACAGATTGCAGCTGCTGTCAAGCCCTGTGGAGGTGATGTGAGAGAAGAACCATGAAAGATAACAAATGTAAACAGAGGTGTAACCTAAATTTTCCCAGAGTCATGTAACTGATGTTTAAGTGAAATTACACCATGACAAGATAATATTAAAATAAATGCTATGAAATGGTCCTTGTGATGGGGTCAGAGGGTGAGCCACAGCCACAGTGCTAAAAGACCAAAGATTGTATTACATCAGGGGCCACAATGCAACAGGATGGATTGGGATTGCCAGCTAATAAGGGTCAGATTTATGACCCTCTTGTGGTTTTGTGTCTGTTTGTTTCATGCTGATTAGAAGAACTAGTTTAATTAAGGCTGTGTTACTTAAAATGAACATCTGTAAAAGGGCAAGCCTTGTGTGAAAAGCAAAACAATTACAATTTACATGCAAATTTAACATATACGATACACAAGATTAATACACATAAGATATCCTACAAAAACACAACTGAACAACATGCAAGTCAGCAAAACAAAATGTAGTAAAACCTGCTGGGCTTTAAAAATACCTAGAAAAACAGACATGAGCGGGGTCGCCTCTCCACAGTGTTACAGTCAAGACCGCACTAATCCAGACCAAGACCTGCCCGAGATCACAGGGTCCTGAGACCCGAGTCCATTTTTGTATCAAATCCTATCGTAAAAACATGGGGAAAAAACATCTCACGAGGTCATTTTCAGTATATGTGCACAATCTTGTGGCAAATTTGTCTCGCAAGATCTTGTCCCTATTAACCAATCAGTGGGAAAATGTTTTGTTATAATGATGAAATACTGCATTCTGTTATTATGGATTATATATAGACAGTCTGTCCTGCAATATGACCAAGCGTTGCTAAATGTCTCTCCCCACACTTTACATTTTTTTGATTAGTTATTGTGCTTTTTTCCCATTGATGTGTATTCTTTCTTATCATTGGATGTAAAAATTGCTGTTGGCACATCCTATCCACTTAAATCTACCAACGATCTAAAGTTCAAACTGACAAAGTTAATTATGAGATGAGATGTTTTTGCTTTGCCTGGAATGTTCTGCAGTATGGCATTAAACTTTTAAGAAATCCATGGAGACAAGCAAATGACGCCACAAGGCCAAGTTTACAGGTCAGATCCGCGAAGAGACGACCCTGCTCACAGTAAGAATACAAGTATTTTCTGAGCAAAGAAAACAGATGAAACTCAATCAATGCAAGTAAGATAAGCTTAAGAAAGGCATATATCATTTACTTGTGTTATGGTGAAAAGTGAATGGCCTGAAAGAAGGGGAAATGCAAAATGACAAATATTATAGCCTACAAGAAGAATGTGATAATATCTAAGAAAGAAAAAGTCAAACTACTACTGAGACCACAGGCCACTATAAATTCTACTTTACTGACTTAAATAGGCTCTATTTCATCGTGCTGCAGGTAGCCCTCCACGCAGGTTAAGGTGATTTCATGGTTAAGGTTTGCTCTAATAGTCCTTCTTACACAGTCCAGTGGAGCCAGGTGACGCTTGGAGCTGCAATAAAAGCATTGGCTCAATAAAGATAAGTCTAATTGAGCTGTAAAGAAGCGCCAATGACAGATGTCTAGTGTGTAAATGGGGACTATTTAAAGATGGCGTCGTGTTTAATATAACACAAGCTCATGTCTGAGTTTTGAAATAGTGGAAGAAGGCAGCATGAAAGAATCCAGCAGTGCAGCCTGTTCTGTAGCTCCTGAAGCTTCACTGACTGATGAGAAATACAGTCACGAGCACGCGCAGGCACAGGCACAGGCACGAGGGAGAGAGTGAGAGAGAGAGAGAGAGAGAGAGAGAGAGAGAGAGAGAGAGAGAGACAAAACAGGGAGAGCGAGAGAAAAAGGAGAGAGAGCGAGAGAGAGACACAGAGAGACAGAAGAGACAGAGAGAGAAAGAGAGAGAGAGAGAGAGGAAGGAGAGACAGAGAGAGAGAGACAAAGAGAGAGATAGAGAGAGGAGGGAGAGACAGAGAGAGAGAAACAGAGAGAGAGAGAAAGAGAGACACACAAAGAGAGAGAGAGAGAGAGAGAGAGAGAGAGGAGGGAGAGACAGAGAGAGAGAGACAGGGAGAGAGAGGAGGGAGAGAGAGAGAAAGAGAGAGACATAGAGAGAGAGAGGAGGGAGACACAGAGAGAGAGAGAGAGAGAGAGAGAGAGAGACAGAGAGAGAGAGAGAGAAAGAGAGAGACATAGAGAGAGAGAGGAGGGAGACACAGAGAGAGAGAGAGAGCGAGAGAGAGGGAGAGAGAGAGAGACAAAGACAGGGAGAGCGAAAGAAAAAGGAGAGAGAGCAAGACAGAGAGCAAAGAGAGCAAGAGAGAGAGCGAGAGAGAGAGAGAGAGAGAGAGAGAGAGAGAGAGAGAGAGAGAGAGAGAGAGAGAGAGAGAGAGAGAGAGAGAGAGAGAGAGAGACGGCTCCCTCGGGCATCTCTCTGCTCATTTAGCGCTCTTCACTTTGTGCGCCTTTTCTCTGAATGCACCTGCTGCTGCTGCTGTGCGTTAAAAGGATCTAACCGCTCTTTTAGAAAAGCAAACTTGAGTGTTTCTTGAAACATGGATGCTGTGAATGCTACTCTTGCCCTGGACACAGTTGGAGATTTGACAGTGCGCCTCTCAGCCTCTGTAACTCCGGACAACGCTACACTGAGCCAAGACCTGTTGCCTTTTTCTTCAAACACAAATGAGACAACCGCGGTGGCGACGGACCGCAGCAGTTTCATCCTGGCGGTGTGCATCACGGCTCTTTACTCTGCGATCTGCGTGGTGGGGCTACTGGGCAACGTGCTCGTTATGTATGGAGTGGTCAGGTAAGTAACACAAGTAGCCTAATAAAATAATAAAAATAAAAATAAATAAATAAATAAATATTGAAGGTTTTTATATAGAAGAAGAAAAATAATAATGCACAAAAAATAGTCAAACAATTAAACTAGCGTAAAATATAGTCCATCAAATTGCCTTTTATTCAGTGAATCACCATGCCACATACACACACAACAAAGAGCTGAAAAAATAGAGTGCATAAGATGTCTATATTTTAGCCAATATTTAGTTGAGCTATGTATAAAAGTATCAAACATATTTAATCACTTATATGCTTTTGCCCAATAACCTATAGCCAACAGCCTACAGTTTGCTACAATGTGCTACCTTGTTTATTCTCAGATTTGAGCATGAGGAACCTGCTGTCAGAAGCATGCTTTTTGCCTTCCTGACAAACAGCCAAAAAGCACGTGACACCGTGCCGTTGCCTTTGTAATTGGCTGCAGTTTGTGTCTGAGGGCCACTTAGTATCTCCCACTCACCCACCCCCTCAAACACTGTGAAGGTAATGTCCAAATGTTGTCAGGCTGATGTGCATTTGATCGTCTACAAAGAAATGTCTACAGTAAACACATTTGTGCCAGCTATAGAGCCACAACAGGCTGATTTCCTTTGAAATGCAAATGGAAAGTTGTTCAGTCAAAATCATCAAACATAATGTAAATGTAGGTCATTCTCCTCTGCAAGTTTTTCCTTTGACTCTTTGTTTGGGATCAGAGCAGCAAACCCCAGCTTCCCAATGTGCAGTGATACAGTTTATTTTATATGAGATGAACTACTGACCCCCCCGGGCAGACTTGGGATTAGTGGCGTGTGACCCCTTTTCGCAGGATTATTGTTCACTGCAATAACTTATCTGTTGTTGCTATTACGAAAAAGTCCCAGTGGTGGGTCTTTTCTTCATGTTGATCTATGAACAATCTCAAATGGCCTTTTAAGAAGCTGTTCAAAATGATCAACAGTAAATACATAATCAAGGGGCAGATTTACAGGAGTTACAGGAGTCATTATGTAGAAGTGCAGTTTAATGGGGGCTCATAGTTGCCATTTCTCAGCAAAGCTTTTAAGCTTTTAATGTTGTGCAATAAAACATTATGAAATAAAGCTTCAATATTTTACTTGTGGAATCTCATTGAGAGGACATGGTAATTATTTATAGCATTAAAATGTCACGCTAATATTAAGAACTGTGCCATTGAATTATTTTGTATTTTCAAACAGATACACCAAAATGAAGACAGCTACCAACATCTACATCTTTAACCTGGCTCTGGCAGACACTCTGGCTACCAGCACACTCCCGTTCCAGAGTGCTAAGTACTTGATGGGAACATGGCCCTTTGGGGAGCTGCTGTGTAAAGTGGTCATCGCCATAGACTACTACAACATGTTCACAAGCATCTTCACTCTGACCATGATGAGCGTGGATCGCTACGTTGCTGTGTGCCACCCTGTGAAGGCACTGGACTTCAGGACACCCGCCAAGGCCAAGATCATTAATGTGTGCATCTGGATCCTGTCATCTGCCGTTGGGGTGCCCGTCACCATCATGGCTGTTACCACAGTGAATAATGGTGAGACACTGCATACAATGACTCTGGCCCTGGGTAGACTCTTATCATTCTAATACAATTTCATGTTTTACAGGAAACATTAAGTGCACGCTGCAGTTTCCTGATCCGGACAAGTACTGGGACACAGTGACTAAGATCTGTGTGTTCATCTTTGCCTTTGTGATGCCGGTGCTGGTGATCACCGTGTGCTATGGCCTGATGATCCTGAGGCTAAAGAGCGTACGTCTTCTGTCCGGCTCCAAAGAGAAGGACAGGAACCTGCGCAGGATCACCAGGATGGTGCTAGTGGTGGTGGCTGCGTTTGTGATCTGCTGGACCCCCATCCACATCTTCATCATCGTCGATACCATTGTTCCCTTCAACCGGAGCAACCTCCTGGAGATGGCCAGCTGGCACCTGTGCATCGCCCTGGGCTACACCAACAGCAGCCTGAACCCTGTGCTCTACGCCTTCCTGGATGAAAACTTCAAGAGGTGTCTGAGAGACTTCTGCTTCCCGAGCCGCTCCCGCATGGAGCAGAGCAGCTTCAGCCGTGTGCGCAACAGTACACGAGAGCCCGCATCCATTTGCGCTTCCAGCAGGAGGGAGAGGGCTCCAGCCTGACTAGGCCTGGAGCAGAGGACAGAGAGGAGAGTCCAGGAAGACCTTACGGAGGTCACACAGATCACCACTACAGGCTTGTAGACTGATATGTTCAAGGGTCCCCACACAGTCTCATGTAACCGACACGTCCCTGTGGGCTTGAGGAGATCTAGCTTCCAGGATTGTGTTTCAGGACTATGCATCTGTGTGTGTACATATGAGTACTGTACGAAGAACATAGAGTGGACTCTGAGTATCAAACTGCAAGTTCTTCTTTTGTTCTCAACATCAGATTTACATTGAGCGTGTAGTCTGAGGTGTCAATTTACAATTTGAAATGGCAGTGGAAAAACTTCATGTGCTGTTCGACAATAGCAAACAAAATGTTGCAAACCTTATAAGGGAACGCTGTCAAGACATGGCTCCTCTAAACACTTCAGTGATCAAATGTATGTATTGATTTGTCTCCAAGAGACAAATACAGGACAAGATGAAGACCAGACTGTCTGCAAAAGAGTGTCTGCAAATTCTTTGGCAGTGACAAACCAAAACTAAAGCACGTAGTTGGACAGTGCTGGATCACACATAGAAACGAGAGTGACACAGCTGCCACATTAAAGCCTGGAGAGATCACATTTCATTTAACATTGACTTAACCTGGATTCTAGAAACAATGAAGTAGCTTTAAGCCATGGTTCAAATGCTTCAGTCTGTTACTGTTGTTATTAATAATTGGTATTCTTTGTATACTTTGTACAGGGACAGTTCCACTCACACCAAACAACATTGTTTAATCCTTTGTTATTAAGTCATTGCGATATCTGAATTATGATATCCAATTTCATGTTCAAGCCTGTGGCAGTGGGAGAAGAAATAATTACACAAAATAATTACACATAAAGCCCACACACAGAGCCATGTGCACAGTAATTACATGTGATCCCAGTGCACAGGTATTTTAACTAAAGGCATGTAGAGATGACTGTATCACTCATGCACATCAGCTGACTCACAGCTTCCCTGTTTCACAAACATTAACTGAAGGCAATGTGAGAAGCTTCTCACAAAACTGTCACTGCACTTTGGGTCATAATTATATGTGCTGTATGTCAATACAGATGTATGGCCCAAACTCTCTCAGAACAAAGTCACATACTACAAATACTACAACTGTTTGTACAAAACCAAAACATTCATATTCAATTAGTGTTAAATTATTGTTTTTGCACATTGTTTAACTATTTGGACATTAATATATTAAGTCTATGATGAATATAGATAATCTTGATTTTTTTTTTTTTTTTTTTATCAAAAAGTGCTTTAAATGTGATCTGTGAATTTGTTTTAGTTTCTAAAAAGCTTTGACAAACTGTTTTCTGCAATGTTGTTTACATGACTGTACAATGATAATGTGTATTATACTGCCTTATTATGAACATTATTATGAAATGTTTTTAGTGACTGTTTTGAAAGTTTGCAACATTTGACTGTTTCTTTTGGAGTATATTAACTTTGGCTATGATGTGCTTTTCCTATATTATCTGCACATGCTTTAATAAAAAAATAAGTGTGATATTATTATTATTATTATTATTATTATTATTATTATTATTATTATTATTTTATTATTATTTTGGTAAAAGTATTTCATTGTAGTTTTTTATGACAAGATTTGCCATTGTACATACTTTTTAAACACATAGCATCAGCATTTGAAAGCAGACTGAACTAATACTAAAATAATACATGAATCCAATGCATTTCAGAAAATGTGTATGTAGGAGTTTGACCTACAAGGTTAGCAGGTGTTGTACATAATGAGCAGAAATTGTTTGCATAGGAAATTAAGAAATTGTAACTTAAATAATTGCACACGGTCACTGCAGTGACTGTGTGCCAATGTGACTGTGACAATTTAAAGTGCACTTTAAATTCAATAGTAGTGCAGCCATATCATCCACTGAGCTGCTCAGGTGAGAAATGTGTTGCCAATATTACACTAGACTGAGCTTTAATAACCAATCACCTCTACCCCCAGTGACAATGACAAGAATTTATAACTAGGTTTTATGGCATCAGATCACTTGATTTATTGTTTTTGTATGTTGCAATCAGCTATTTCTATGTAGCAATGTTGACAAAAACCATTTAAATATTATTGAGTATCCATTTTTACCTTTATTTGGAGTTTAATAACATATTTTTTTATCAAGCTTTTAAAAATATATATATATATGAACAATATTTTATGTATTTTTTTGGCAATATGCTCACCTCTAGTGTAATTTCAGATTAGCTGAAAAAGGCAGAAAAAGAAGTAACCAAATAACTAAATAATACTCAATAAAAAAGTGCAAATCCTTTTTAATGACATGCTGCAATGTGCAGTTTGGCTCCTGTGACTTGTTAGTATGTGATTTGATTGAGCGGATCTTTTTGTGCAATGAAGTGTATTAATTCTTGTTTTAAACATATAGTTCACGTGTCCACTGTGTAGATACAACTGGATAAGCAGGCAATTGCATAAATCACTTCACTCTAGAGGATACCATAAAGTGACTCTTGACCATTAACAGTGTCTTCTGTGTGTTTCTAAAATAGTAACATGAAAACACTTGAACAATGAAGTCAGGTTTTCATAGAAAATAAAAAAAAACCTGGCACTACAATAAACCTGTTTTAAAATGAAACATAATTAAACTAAAGCCGTAAATAAGGGCACTTAAGCAAATTATTGTATAAAAATAAGAAGATGGGGAAATGTGTGTTCACAATAGACATACTCTCAAAATTGCAATCTCTTCCTTTGTATGAGCCATTGTTATAAATGAATTACCAGAACATCTATTTTAACCCTTATATTGTGTTAGGGTCAAAATTGACCCGTTTTCAAGTTTAGGTATGTAAAAACTGCCATTTGCTTTTTTGTACCGGAACGAGGCTTCATCTAATCCTCAGACACAACTATTTTAACACAACAAAATTAATTTTCACCATTTTAGTAAATTGTAAAGGTCTGGAGAAAAAAAAGTGACATCTGTGGTGTTACGGGTCAAAAATGACCCGGCAGAGAATAGTGGCTGTTTTATGCATCACTTACAAGCTGTAGGTTGCTCTGTGGATCAAATATGGCTCAGTGTGCCCCACAACACACACACACACACACACACACACACATACACACGCACCCCTACACATGCAACCCCTCCCCCACACACACAGGCCCCCTCACCACATCTCCACAACATGAACTCAAACTTTTTCGTAGAAACTAGATACACACGCACAGACACACAAACACACATGCACACACACGCACACAGAAACACACACAAACACACATGCACACACACGCACACACACACGTGCGCGCGCATAAACACCACACACACCGGCCCCTTTCACCACCCCTCCCCCACGTGAACTCAAACTTTCTAGTAGAATCACACACACACACACACATAAAAAGGTCGTCTTCACCCACGTGAACTCTTCTCTTTCTTGCAGCACATTGATACATTTTGAATCAAAAATAAACCTTGTCATATATAAACAGGGTTTTAGTGAGATATTATCAGCTGTATTCTGTTGCAGCATCAGTCAACATGAGCAGGTTCACTGTTTATGAGGCTCTGGATCAGATCTTTGGTCATGCAGTGATTCTGAACACAGAGAGGAAAGTGAAGCTGAGGAAGATGTATTTGAGGATAAGGATGAGGATATAGACTGTAGAAAAGAAGTGGACTAAGAGAGTGTGATGTCACCCACAGCGTTTGGCGCCGCTCAAATGAAGCTCACGAGTTACAGGAGCAAATCTAGAGCCAGGTTATATGTTATGAATAGGATTTTTTGAACGGACAAAACAGCCCAAAAAAAAAAAAAAATCTGGATCATGTGTCACAGGTTAATACGTATATTTTAAGACCAAAATGATGAGGTTCACAGCAGCAGGTACAGAGAGAGGGAAGACAAGATCCTAACATAAGTCAATTGGAGCCAGAGTCAGAAGGAGCCGGAAGAGCCTCCTGGAAAACTTTCTATTTGGAACGCGACGTTTTTGTAATCAAAAACGAGTGGTATATTTTAAGATAAAAGGTCTGTGGAGCCAAAAAAAATAATAATAATAATTCCATGGACCTGACAATTGTGCAAAAAGACATAAAACAGTTGTAGCTGGACATATTTATTCTAGTACATATGAACTTTGAAATTTATTATTTATGAATATATGGATATATGAAAATAAAGATATAATGAGTGAGTGTTGTTTGGAAGATATGCAACATTTTAATATTGGTTAATATTATTATATTAATTAGAATAAGAAAGATTAAGCAGGTTTATTCAGCCTAATCTTGTTTGAGTTGCAACCAATAGGCTGACAAATAGTGTGAACATCCAAATATAAACTTCATTCAGTCATTCTAAAAATGGAAATGAAGATACCGGTAGTCTTGTGTTGTACACTTCCAATTGACATAGTATTCATGTGTATCAGTTTACTGTTGTGCAACTTTTTAATTAAATTTTTTGCAACCATTTTCAACTTTTTCCCATTCAAAAGATAAATTATTTTTTTTGGTTTGTTTGAATGTTTATTGGTAATGGTGCTTAAAAAAAATCAGATTTTCTAAATTTTCTACCTATGGATACATTTGTCCCTTTTGAGATAAATTTTACTATTATTTCACATAAACCAGTCGACTATGTGCTGATAAATGAAGCCAACTGCTTTATGTAATAGATTCTTGTTGAAAGACAGATCATGAAGGCATCTCTTGACCTTTTGTTTACATACCAAGAAGTGTCAAAATCTTAACAGAGTTTGACTTGAGTTTTCACAAGATGCTTTAGCCTACATACTGAGATCGTCCCTGCTGTGGAGCTGGCACACTGTTTCAAACTGTGTACCATCTGCCAGCTGACAACATCTCCAACCACTGCATGCCTCCAACTCTAGCTTCAGTCCATAAAAGCGATTTACATGACCGCATCACCTTACAAAAGGCTATGTAATTAGC